GCCACCGTTTGATGGCGGACGCGGTGGGGCTGCAGGGGAAGAGGAGTGTCGGTGTTTCGTTGCCGCTCTCCCTGTCCTCTGCAGCCGATTGGAGGTGGCCCTCTTCGGAGGGCAGTGTTTGTGTGGTGTGGGGCTGCTCCTGGTACTTCTCTGATAGCAGAGTGGACTTAGGAGCGGCCTCACTTTTTTGGGTTGTAAGTCTTCCCATAATGGGGTTGTCCCGCTTGGGGCGGCCTCATGGTTAGTGGCTTCGGCCAACCGTCGGGGCGTCGTAGTTGAATGCGTAAGCGATCCTGCGACGCCCCACATGGCAGAGGGGGAAGGTTTTGTTGGGTTTTAGTGGGTAGTACTGGCTTTGCCGGTGAGTCCCACACCTCGTGCGTAAATGCATTTCCCAACGTTAAAAAAAAAAAGGTTCGTCCCTACCTCGATTCCTCATGCAAACTTTCATCCCCATTTACACCCCCTTAAGGTATGATATCCGGGATAAATATTATCTTATGTCCTTTTCAGGGTCTCAAACTATCTTCTTATCAAATTTCATCTAAATCGGTTCAGAAGATCCAGAGATTACCCCCTACAACGTCACAAACTTTATAATATTAGTACGTATAGATTGCACTCATGAGTTTAAATGAGGACAAATTAAATACCAACCGAAAGTTTGAAGCCTATAGAATATACAAACGTTGGGTTGTTTATTTTTTTCTGGCGTTACTACTGGGTTGGCAGGTATAAACAGGTAAATCGATAATAGTTATTTTCACCTATTTGTTTAATAAATTAGTTTTATATCAAAATGAGCTCTATTTAATTGCGAATACGATGATATAGGATTGTCTGTAAAAAATCTGGCCTGAATGAGGGTAGTCAAGTTTTAGAGCTTATAGTATGTTTTTCACCATTACATTTTATTTGTATTTTTTGACTGTTCACTTAGTTCATTTTTGTTTATTTTCCTGATATTTCAGGACAGGACAGGACAAGAAAATTTCAAGATAAGTACATATCGCTATCATTCCATTGACAATGGACAGAAAATAACGATATAACGTGGTCGAAATTTAACCATAATTTAATGAAATTTAATGAATTATAGCCAATTTTGATCACGGGGCTACCAGTAGCTTAAATTATTATTTTTAATTTCTTCTAAGATGTAATAAAACCCCGTTAACACCAACTGTACTAAACAATAGATAACAAAAATAATCCTGTTTTATTACTATTTGCTAGTTTAAAAATTACCTCCCTACATCGCTCAATTGAATAGGCAATTATTACATATATTAAAACTAGCGTAGGTACGTTTTTTAACAGTTAGTGTGGAACAGATAGTCGATCCACTGTTCTGTAAAAAACAAAAGCAAATCTGTCCCACGGGAACCGTACATTTTTCCGGGATAAAAAGTAACCTATGTGGTATTCCAGACTAAAATCTATCTCTGTGCTAAATTTCAGCGAATATAGATCCATTCAACCGTTCTAGCGAGACAAACATCCATCCATCCAAACTTCCGCATTTATAATAGGTATATGTAGTTACGATTTGTGAGTTCTGGAATCGGAAATTGAAGTATGTCTTCTGCATTACAGATGTTTTTTACTTATGGCTCGTGACAGTCACTTATGGTGAGAAAAACACTCAGTATATGTACAGTTCTTCAGTTAATTCAGTCTTTGAACACTATTTTTCATCACTAGTTGCACTTTCACTAAAGTTCCAGATAGGACTAATAAAAAATTAAATAAACGGGTTTTTTGCAAATGTCTCGAAAACTTTGAGGTTATTGTAAAAAGTTTCATCTAAAAATCTTTTACTAGACCTACAACTTTTTTAAAGAATACTTTTCGATAGAATGTTACAGTAAGCCGGAAATCGAAAAAAGCTATTTTTTAACGGTTTACACCCCTCCATTTCTCGGGGGTAGCTGGACAACGGGGGCATTTTTGTTCCTTATATACCTGCTAACGTTTTGAAAATATAATAAAACTTCAGGTTTTAATTTTTTGTATAGCGCATCGCGATCGGACTATTTGTATAGCGCATATTTAAATTAAAGAAAAAGTTAATAACGAATAAAAACTTAATTTGTTTCGAATTAAGTACTTAAAAAAAATAATTTTGTATTAATCCTTTTTTTCTTAAATTTCAAACTTCTTAAAAAAGTATATTTATTTGGCTTTGGCGAGGGTCATGACCCCCATGACAGACAACACCCCCCCGCCCCTCCCCCACATATATAAGCTCATAAACACATTACCCTCCTTTGCGTCGCGCAGTCGGGTAAAAAGATAAAAATGAGCGACTTGCTCTTAAACTTGCTTTGCATTTTCCATGAAAATTTGACATTTTACGGCACTAAATTGTTAAATATGTTAATTATTAACCCTGCTACATACAGTTTTGTGTAATAAACCATTGATATTTTGTATGAGCGACAACTCGACCAAACCAGTTACTGTGTTTTTCCGTGTGAATGAGATTTCTCTGTAATAAAAGGTATGCTAAATGTTGACACAATAAGTTATTGTTACCATATTTAGTTAAAATCTGTTCAGTACTCTTTGGATGAAAAGCAAAGAGATATAAAGACAACCAAACAACAATTTCAACAATTAGGTTTGGGGTCTATATTCTGTACAGAATACGTACCAGTCATTATTTTTAAATAATGTTCCACATACAGATTGAGCTTTTTTACTATTTTATTATATTTATTGATAATAATAATTAATGTTAAGATCAGCCTACTCTAGAGTAATGTTGAAAGTTAAAATTATCAATTCAATATATAATATTCATTCTGGAATATCGACCTTCTAATCTTTTCATCAAAAATAAGGTTATCATGGAAACGTTCTAATTTGCGTGTCTAGGCAACCATCTGTTACTGTGAAATAAAACGTATACATATAGACGTATATACATAGTCTGGCCATAAATACTGTTACATATTTTGTGATTTTAAAAGGAGTGGGGTGATAAAGAGAACCGAATTACTGTGATTGCATTATACAAATTAGGTATGGAGCCAAATACAATTTTTAAAACTCTCAATACGCTTGGTTTATTAGTCAAATATTTGTGTACCGGGTTATTGATAGGTACATTGACACCTCCTCTGTTTATCTATCTATACGTATAATAAAATTCTAACTAGGTCGAATCTATACATTAAATATTTTTTCGAAAATCTTATTGAAATAGAAATTATTATCGGTACAGAGGCCGAATCTATAGTTTTTAGAATTGTTGTCTGTCTGTCTGTTACCGCATCACAACAGAGGATGGATGGAGGGATTTTGATGAAATTTGGTATGGTCACAGCTGGTTATCCAGGTCAACATATAGGATACTTTTTATCGCGGGAAAATATCACCTTACTGAGAAAAAATACAAAAGCTGGTTAGAATAAAACACGATGATACTATGTATATATTATATTTTAGCAAGGTAACTTACTAAATAAGGCAAAAACGATTAAAAACTCTTAGAAAAAATAACAACAGGGCTATTTTATTTGGTTTTTACTTTTTGGTCATCTGAATGCGGGGGAAGCCGCGGGCAATGCTAGTTTAGTCATATTTTTACGGTTGGAATAACAAAAAAATATTTTAAATAAAAATATTTTCATATTTTTAGCTGGTTATCCGAGTCAACATATAGGATACTTTTTACTGCGGGAAAATATCTCATCTCTGAGAAATCTATATTAAACGTTAAAACGTAACTAGGGACGAACCCGAGCTGAGCGAAGCCGAGTCGCTACTCGCTAGTGTATAAAATATAAAAAAAATGTGTATATAAAAATGAAAGGTGTCAGAATTATACAATGAATTTCGTTTGTAATAAGTTCTAATTGGGAAATATATGAAACTGAAAAAATTATACAAACTTAAATGGTTCTTTTTATTGTACGGAAAATAGTTTCGATTTGAAAATTAAGCTATACATTTTTAGCTAAGCATTTTAATTGATTGAGTAAAATTATGGAATTTGGGCTACCATATAAAACGGAGGTGGTTTTAGTGACGTAATGTTTATATTCAAACGGAGCCACATGCAGAACCAGCTTTAAATAAAACAGTATGAATCAGGAAGAAGATATTTACAACACGAAAGTTGCAGCGCCATCTTGTTCATATGCAATAGACGTTCGTTATCTTTTGATCCTACAGCATATAGAATCTATTTAAATTATTATTAAAAATTTAAACATTACTAGAAATAGTTTAGAAATATTAAGTACATATTATAATCAGTAGTAGTAAGTAGGACGTATGATTTCACTTATGAGCACTATGTTATTCATGATTAGAATGATTACTTCATACGATGTAAGCTGTTGCAAACACGATATCGTAGCCCCACTGCACTGCAGACCGCAACCAGCTAGCGTGCCCTACTGACACCGAACGAAATCAAAAAGCGTCGTCGTGCCACAGGTAGAATACAAAGTGACATCAAACGTGGATGCCATACGTTGTGTCCATTAAATCCAAGAATTGTACAAACTCCTTTGTAATTAAGAGTTAAGGACGCAAAATATTTGTCAGTCATAGAAGAAACCATTCTTTTAAAAATTATATTACAATTTTTCCACATAACCCACTCCATTGTAGGATAGCGCGAAAAGCCAATGCGACGTTGCCACACCGTGCAAACCAGTATACGAGCAGGTAGTCTCTAGTCTCCACAATGCATACAATGTAATTATTATACAACCAGCACTTGTCTGTTTTGAATGTAACTATTCATAAAACATTTGCTAAGGCCTCATGTCCCCAAATTTATGTAAAAAGAATCTAAGCAGAGTCCAATTCGATTTAAGCGATTTCATTATTGTTTCTACATAAGCCATAATGGAAAGTTTATACTTAAATATAGCCATGTTTCATACATTAACCGATTTATCAAAAATATAATAAAAGTAATTCATGCTTATATCCGGCTCGAGTTGAAATCATCTATAAATACTTGTAGGTATACGTGACTAATAGTATGTAATTAGTAGAACTACATCGTACGCACCATTTGTTGGATCCACATAAGATATCTTTATCTCCATTGCTATATTTTCAGTAGGCTTAGGGTCCACGGAGTTCATCTCATATTCCACGGCGCCTTCCAACACAATATCATTCTTTGCCTGGCTTGTAGAGGCAGCCAGACCCTGCGCAACACTCATTTTTGGAGAGTCTTCGTGCATCATTTACGGATGATTTAGCGAAACAACTAACATTAGCTGCCCGCAAGAACTATAAAATTTCATCTACTTTGTTTAGGAAAATATTTTATCTTAAATTTTGTACATAAATACCATTAATTCTTTATAAAACACTAAATGTAGGTCTCTAGGCCACTTCACTTACACTTTAATATTCCGACATAACTCGGGTTCAATAGAGCTACCATACTCATGACTGACATTGAAATATGTCGGTAAAGGGCAGCGAGAAATTAACCTAATTTAGAAATGTGTGTCATGGGCCATGGCCTATTTTCCAAAAAAAAATCTATTTATAATTTAAATGTGAAATAATGTTTTTCTTATTAGGTTTATTATTAAAATAAATATCATAGGTGTATGGTAAAAAATATTAAAAGTACTTCAATGTCCATACAGTAAAAAACTAAAAATGTTTTTGGCTTAAAAATACTTTAAATAGTGCAAAATTAATACATTTGCTTATGAATACACTATGTTGTGTAATAAATAACCGTTTCTATTGCACAATCCTTTCACAAGGGCTCCAAATGTAGGTCAATCTGTGCAAGAATGATATACATTAAAAAAATTATAACATTATTTTTTGATATTAATAAAACTATCAAAATTTTACTATAATTAATATACTATTTTATATAATATTTTGGGAATTTATAAGACTTTTAATAGTATTAAGCATTTATTTGACTACAACATCCGGTACACAATAGAGCCATCTAGTTTCTGTATAAAGTACTATTTTAAAAGTTGTTTATCAGTTTTATAATAGATGTCACTGTATTGCAGATTAATAAATTTATACACATCTGCGGTCTTGCTTCAGTAAGTATAACCGCTTATTTCTATGAAATTTCCTAACATCAATATAAATGGTTAATATTACCAGTGGTGTTGATAGTGTCCCATATAATAAAATAAAAAAGTTAAATTCATTTAGTTACTTTATATGATGCTCATTTAAATATAAAGTAATTAATTAGGAAGATTTCTAGAAAGGAGGGCACCACACGTATGGCCTTTATTGTGATATCTCTTTTATACCTGGTTTTTTGCTTCTATTGTGTTCGCATTTTACCCGTACAATGTATTATATCTGGAATTTAACCAGCTGAAGGAAGAATTGAGAAGGAGACGTGCATCCTACGGTGGTCCTGACTGACTAATGGATCAACATACGGCCTAAGCCGCTGGTCGTTAAAAAATATTACCTGTAGACGATTTAAGAATTTAAAGTCACTTTCTTTAAATGAAGTCCACATAGCCTTAAATATAAAGATTGTGATTTTGCAAATTTTGGCTGTCTATTGATTCAGCCAGCAATTTCTTTAGTTTTAGTCTTTTGGTAACAAACTATATTCATTTGCTTTGCTTTCTGGTACTGAACAATTTGTTATTTTAATTAAATTTTCAATAAAATGAAAAAAAAAACCATTCACGCTATATAGCTTTACAATATACTAAGGCCTATAGTGATCGCGACATCTGGCGGGAGAAAAAGGAAAAAAAAATACTTCCCCGTTTCATTTAATATTAATTTAAACTTTTTTTTTGTTACTAGCAATGACATAATAAAAGGTATATATTATATAATTAAAAGACCCCATGATAACGTAATTCAAAGAAAACTTACGCGCAATGAGAAATACTAGCAGTCTTTTTTTCGGAACAGTTCTTTCACATCAGTCTTCGTAACGGCTTTTTTCGCATCATATCTACTATCTATATTATAAAACGTCATTGGTTGATAGGTATTTTTTTTTTATTATTCAATTTAGTCCACAAGTGCTACCTAGTGATTTATGTAGGAGTATATAACGAGTTCAAGTTTTGTTATATTTAATACTAGTTGCTTATTAAAACAGTATTAAATTCAACTAAACAATGTTTATGATAAAAGTATCTGTTGGCTGGTTAGACTTAATATTCTGTTTCTCATAATTTTTTAGTAATAATGTGGTCAATTTTATTATAATAATTAATAAAACATAGACAAGTTTTAAATATAATATTTTAATAATATAAAACTTCGAAGATATTATATTCATACAATCATTATGAACAGTATAAAATTTCACAAGATATAAAAAATATTTTTTTTTATTTAATCTTACTTGAAGTTATTTATTTATTTGTTCTAAATACATATACATATATCGAAACTTTGTCTTGTGCATCTTACATTTCAAAAAAGACAATTTTAAAAAGACATACAAATGCGATATACGGCTATTCTTAATATCCACACCTCATCTAAACCCAAACTAAATAATACAGGAGTAAGACAAGGATGTCCAATAATATTTTTGAAATTTATAAACAAAATAGTATTTTTTATAAAATTTGCTTTTTCATGATAGCTAGTTAAGACAATCTTTATTAAGTGTACGACAATAGGCTATTAATATTTTGACAGTGTAAAAAATATTTTTTTGTTTGTAGACAAACATATTATGTAGGCAATTTTTTTTAAATGAAATATTCAAAAGAGCTCCTCTAAACTTAATTTATTTTTCTCTGGTACCACGTGATGAAAAAAGATCTGGATTGGCTGATGTACAATGACGTCATAGAGCATTAAACTGTCAAACAACATGCCTGTCAATCAGTTTTGACATACCGTCTTTGCCGTTCCTACCTCCTTGTATTTGTCTACACACCCTGACAGAAAACACTATTTTTACATTTCCTTTATTAGATAATATCAAATAATGACAAAACTAAATACTAACTCAACTTATGTATGACGCTTGATTGGTTAAATGACACTTTCCTGTGACGTCACGACTGACGTCAGTGGTTTAAATTGTATTGTTTTTGTTGCTATTTATAGAAGAAATACTTATAAGTATTAAAAATAAACACGTATTGTGAGTTCAATAAACACCAGTAAATAATTTGAGACGGTTTCTAGAAATTAGTCAAATAGCCCATTGCTTTTACATTAGTTCCCAAGATAGTCTATCAACCTCATCCCACTCGTATACTATTTATTTACTCAAGCGTTGCTTTGTTTGGCCTGTGTGAGGATTTCCCTGGATATGATAAGTCTTTGAATTTGAGATGTTCCTTCATAAATTTGGTATATTTTGGCGTCACGCATGAGTTTCTCGACGGGGTATTCAGAGTTGAACCCGTTTCCACCAAACACTTGCACCGCATCCGAAGCGGCCTTATTTGCTATTTCGGACGCGTAACATTTGGCTACCGAAGCCATCACAGTGTTCTTTTGACCTGTGAGAGTTGAATGTATGTATTACATAATTTGCTTATGATTATTTTGTGAAAACATGTTTTATCATTATATGCAGTTTCTTTATACAATTGAGAAACTTGAAAATGACTTTAAGTAATTAATTATTCCTCTGTTTCGGGACAAGTGTATTACTTTTTTTAACTGACTTCCAAAAAGCAGGAGGTTCTAAGTTCGTCTGTATGTATTTTTTTTATATATGTATAATGTATATACCATGATCGACCATCCAGGCGGATTTTTGCCAGGCGAGACGAGCGGTCTCCACGCCGATGGCCATGTCCGCCAGCATAAAGGCCACAGCCTGGTGGTGGGCAATGGGCACACCAAACGTTTTGCGCTCTAGTGAGTACTTGGTCGCTTCATACAGAGCGCGGTTTGCGAGGCCCGTCGCACCTGCTGCCACCTGTTGGTGATTAGCAACACACATGATAATGAAGTAAAACTACTTTACACAAGCTTGACTTGTGGGGTAAGCTGATGGGTAAGTGTAAATCGGGCGACGCGAACGTTCGTTGCCATCCATCGTTACCGTTGTTATTGTCTCACAAATTACATATATTATATTCTTTCCTTAAATGATATTCTATAAATATATGATTGTAATATGTCTAATATGCGTTATTTTTAGTATCTCACGTATCCCTATTATTTTAAACAAATTCAATTTCATAAAGAGTACCGATAACCTACAGAAGTTTTTTAAATCCTAGGAACAGTTTGCGTGTGCCATGCAGAAATAATCATATTTTAATTTTCTCGCAATGAATTATGAAAATCTTACAAGATTTATTTATTTATTTCTTGGTAATCTTACAGCGTTATAAAATTGTTAAAATACAGTTAGAGCACAAAGTTATTAATAAATATGGCCAAAATTAGATTACTAGATATAATAGTATATGTATTAGACAACAGAGTACTCATATATTGATAAAGGAAAAAGAAAAAAAAAGTCTGAATAAATTAAATTGATCATACTAATGATATGCACATCAAACATAATGTGTTTACATGTATGTGCGCGTGTGTACGTGTGTGTGTGTCTGTGTGTGTATATGTGTGAGTATATGTGTGTATCTGTGTTATGTGTAACTGTACGGGTAGTAACGTACATATTTACAGTTATGTACACCTATTTATATAGATTATGGGTATGTGAAGACATTAAGCATGTTCATTTTTTTTAAGAGTGTGCTTAGAGAGATTAAATATGTCTAAGTCGCTGTAATATTTGTTATAGGTTCGTGTCAGACGCGGTATGATGCCGTTATTAGCATATAGATTGCATGCCACAGGTTTTATCACGCTTCTTTGTGTTTCCTAACAGGTAACCAACTTGCCACAGATCGTGAGGTCTTGCGATTCGAATCCTGGATCTAGACAAGGATTACTTTAACTAGGGAATATTCTTTTACATCAAATTACTTGGTCCAGTAGTAACAATAAGTGAATGCGCTGGTAATATTAGCACACAGTATCTTTATATATAAAAAATAATATAATATATAAAGAACATACAGGTGGTCGGGTCTTGTCGAAGGCTCCCATAGCGATCTTGAAGCCAGCACCTTCTTCGATTAAAACATTTTCTTTGGGAATACGAACATCTTCAAAAGTAATGCCTCGGGTGTCGGACGCGCGTTGTCCCATGTTCATTTCCTATTTAAATATTTTATGTTAAAATGGCTAGAAAAATTGATGAATTATAAACTATTACAACAATATGAAAATATAGAAAAATGCGGATTTGAATTTCAATTAAATTATTTTTCGTTTTTTGTTTTTATTGAGTTTTGGATTGGTCTCTAAAGAAATTATAGATGGCCGGCCTATATAAGGTTTAAAATTTTCTATTATTTTCTTACATAAAAACAAATTAAATAAAAACAAACTAATAATAAAACAGAACTTTCTACACTATAATTGTAATTACTATAGAGATGCTATAATTTTTGAAGTGAAACTTCTTTAGGGGCGCCATGAAAGGAAAAAGAATGATTGGCGTTACAATTTTTGTAACGGAAAAGGTACATTACAAAAGTGAATAAATAGTCAATTAAAAAATATTTAAACTATTATATGTATACATATATCTAAGAATAAATTAAATAACAATAGACATTTCTTTTTTATTTACTTTTAAATAAGCAAGTCATATTGTTAAAAACTATTTACTTGAAATATTTTTTTACGTTATAAATGTAATTTCTTTTCACAAAAATTGACTGTATTATTATTTATTGTATTTGAGTATATAATTTATTGAATCATTACAACATTTCATTGTATATTAAATTTTATCTTAACACCATCTATACTATAAGAATAATAAAATATTGTTCTCTTTTAAAATCGAGATTTTTTTTTAATTATGTAAACCAAATAGAATTTTATAAAAAGTACGGAAGTATAAGTAAAATTGATACTTTTTAACTTTTTTTTTATCCTACTATAGACTGGCTCTATTAGAACTATCCTGATAAGTATTTATAGGTTCTATCTTATCGGAAAGAATAATCAGTTCGAGTAAATGTTAATAGTATTAGCAACAATCAATAATTGAATCCATATACTTGTTAATTCCTAAATTAAAATACATACACAAGAAAGTTTTATTTATAAAAAAATTTATAGAACCATAAACCAAAAGGCATATATTGGGTACTAATATTAAATTCCCATATTCACAATTTTACTAATATTATTTAATTTAGCGATATTCGTTATTAACCGTGATAAACAATTCATAAAAACTAATAGCGCCATCTGTGAACAAGAATATACACACTAAAAACCTATAATCTGTTGCTGATATTTCAATAATCAGTAAAATTACGATACAAATTTGATTTACAGGCGCATTATTTCGTTTCAATTCACTTTTTAAAACAATAATAAACCTTTTAGGGATCGGTTTTTTTACACATCATACCTTTAATAACAAATCGATACATACAACGTCATCTATTGAAATATCAATATATAAATATATTTGAACTAATTTATCTTTGTGAGTGACGAGACCGCTGGATGTTAATAATAATTAATATATCAATCATTTGGCAATAAATTTTTACTGCGCATGTAAAGATGGCGGTATTTGCATTTCGTTTGTTCTGGCAATAAGCGGTCAGAGGAAATGATTTTATTTTTGTATTGTGCACATTTTAGAGCACAACACATTATAGAAAATAGCTCCGTAAGCTTTAGTGTTAGGGCCAACTACCATCTATTTGGACAAAATAAGGAATACTTCAAAGAAGAATCGTCCTATTTCGTTAAAGAATTGTTTGTGGATGTTTGTTTTGTATTCATTTATAATACTGCGCTATTTCTTTCTATTTTAACATTTCGTTATCTACGACCACCCATTTCTCTTAAGTGTATATATGTGTTTAAAATATTAGCCTATTTAGTTTTACAATATACATTATATTGTAAAACTAAATAGGCTAATATTTTAAAACTGAAGAGATGTTTTCTCTTTTGTAAGTTTAAACATTAATAAATTCTAATTTGAAAAAAAAAAACTTTTTATTTTACTTCGTGTTTAAATAATTTCATGAGAACTTTAGGAATTATACATAAATTTACCTACATTAGCCGCGTATAAAATCTAGTTATTTATTTAGAAGAGATCATTTACCTTACGTCCAGGTACTACTCCAGGCCATTCCCTCTCCACTATGAAACCAGTGAAAGCTTTGCTTGCTGGGCACTTGGGGTCAGGGTTGGTTCTAGCCAACACGAAGTACCTGAGTCAAATAAAGTTCATATTTATAAAACTATACTCCATTTTTGTAGAAGTCGGTTATTTATACGCATATATTTATTAAATATAACAAAACATATTCTTCAAATCATCAACAATCACAAAAATACAAGCATAAAACTTGCATAAGAGTTCCTTGTATAGACAGCGAAAGGATTATTAGAAAATAATTTATTTCTTGTTGCGATCAAACAGGGACAAAAGCTTGTTTAGAATTTGGTCATTTCTGATATAAAAAGCTGATAGATATACAAATTGTTGAATTTTATTAATGAAGGGTAATACATCTGTATAAATATTATAAATGTGAAAGTTTGTGAGTATGTATGGATGTTTATTACTCTTTCACGCCAGAACGGCTGAACGGATCTGCATGAAATTTGGCACAGAGATAGATTATAGTTTAGAATAACGCAAAGGCTACTTTTCCCGGAAAAATGTATTATTCCCTTTGGATAGGTTTGTTTTTGTTTTCCTCTTAGTCTTAAATACATAGTCTGGCCATAAATACTGTTATAATTAAAATTAAACAAAATATTACAGTTGAATTTGGAATCTGTCATTTTTATATGATTGTTCATTGTGTTTTCTCATTTTCGCTCCAATGCATTGTAAAATATTTTGTTATATTAAAATGGAGTGGGGTGATAAAGAGAACCGAATCGCTGTGATTGTAGGTATGGAGCCAAATACAATTTTTAAAACTCTCCATACGCTTGGTATTAGTCATTTATTTGTGTACCGTGCTATTGATAGGTACAATGAAACCTCCTCAGTTTGTGACAGAAAAAGATCTGGCCATTCACGTAGTGTTCGTACGAAAAAGGCGATCAAAGCAGTAAGGGAAAGAATTCGAAGAAATCCTGTCCGAAAGCAAAAGATTTTATCTCGGGAGATGAAGACAGCAAGCACCGAGAACCATGTCGCGTATTTTAAAAGATGACTTAGGACTTGCAGCCTATAATTCTAATACTATATATATTATATATTAATGGGTCATTTCTTAACTGATAATTTTAAAAAGATTAGGATGGTAAAATCAAAACAACAATTTAAGTGTCACACACATTTTTTGTTTACGGATGAAATTTTTTTTACAATTGAGCAATATTTTAACAAACAAGATGACCGTATTTATGCTCAAAGCTCTAAGAAAGCTTCCCAATTAGTCAACAGAGTACAAGTGGGCGTTATTATACTTCAGGCATGGTTTGGTGGGGAGTTAGCTATGAAGGAGTGACTGAGCCATATTTTTGTGAAAAGGTATCAAAACATCGGCACAAGCGTATCAAGATACGATTCTTGAGAAGGTAGTTAAGCCCTTTAACAACACCATGTACAATAACCAAGAATAGTCTTTTCAGCAAAACTCGGCGCCGCGTCATAAAGCTCGATCCACGCAATCTTGGTTAGAAACCCACGTTCCTGACTTCATCAGAGCTGACGACTGGCAGTCATCTAGTCCCGATATTAATGCGCTGGATTATGATTTATGGCTTGCTCTAAATGCCATGATAATTTGGAGTCCCTAAAACAATCCATACGATTGGCAGTGAAGAATTTTCTCATGGAAAGAGCGCGTGTTTCTATTGATAACTGGCCTCAACATTTAAAGGACTTATTGCAGCCTATGGAGACTACATCGAATAAGCTTTATATATTTTCAATGGTTTTATATTAATGTATTAAACTAAAATGTTTTTTTCTTTGTGACAATATTTAGGGCAAGACTATGTAAATTTTCAGTAAAGTATCATACCAGTTAGCAACTCCACCATTGGTGATCCACATTTTTTGTCCATTTAGGATCCATTCGTCACCCTTTTTCTCAGCCCGAGTTTTAACACCGGCTACATCGGAGCCTGCCCCGGGCTCGGTGACGCAATACGCCTAGAATTTATCAATCAAATATTCATTGTAATGGTTGTTTTAGCGATTTTAAAAGATATTGCGAGTTATTCTTAGACTTAGATTTTCGTATTACATATAAGATATATGTATTGAAATTTATCAAAATTTACGCACGCAAATATGAAAAAGCTGTTATTGTGGCTTTTCCGAGTCCTACTCGCGAAACAAATTAAAAAATATATTTATATATTCATTTTGCAATTGACTTAAAATATCTATTAAAAAGAAATGTATACAAATTAAAGGTAGTACAAGCGATATTTAATCATTAATATACCTATATACTTTCCAATTAACATTCCTTAAATTAAACCATGTTTTTTTTCTGATAACAATGTAAAGGTGCAAGTAAAAACGAGACACATCTTCTCATGATTAAGTAATGCAACGATTAGACTGTGACTATACTTACAGCTACAATTGGCTCTTCAATCAATCTGCCTAAATATTTTTTTTGCTGCTCTTTATTACCAGCTATGATGACTGGGGTTTGCTGAAATATCGAGGCTCGGATGAGAATACGTCATATTATAATATTATAAATAATATATGATTGAAAAAACAAACAAAAGCATTTACACAGTGTCTATATTTTTTTATCTCTAGTCTTATCAAGCGGTTAGTTGAAAGCATTTTGGTATAGTAAACATACATACTCGTATATTACATTGATATATGTATATTTTGTATTGTGTAAAATGTGTTTTGTTACTTACAACCTTTATCATTAAATATATGTTTCGTATAATATAATTGTATTGCAATAAAAGGCAATTTCAAGTAAATTTACAAAGAAAAAAATTCCTCATAAATTGTCCTTTGTCATTCGAGGGGTTCAATTTTATATGCCGAAGTATGGATTGTGCCGAAAATTATTGTAACAGTTGCGTAATTTTGTATGTGGTAAGTAGCCATTGCACAACAAGGACTGTATAGGTGTAGGATTTGTAAGTGTAATGAGAATATAATAAAGAGAAAAGTGAATTAATTAATAATAATAATAATTAGGATATGTATATGGATGAAGGACTATGAGAAAAAATATTCATAATTTTTTGTCAAATTCAAATAGTAAATAGGTAGGTAAATTGGTGTTGAAAAATATATAATTTATATATACATATATATACCTTTTTTGTAGTATGAAATAATTATAATTATAAGCACGCGGCAAGACTATATCCAGATGAGAAGCAGGTTATTAAAGAACTTATCCACACCAATATACATAAATAAAAAGCGCGTTTGTTATTAAAACACACACTCCACAGTGATTAGAACTCACAAGAAACTCAAAACCACCAAACACTAATAATCAAAGACAAGTTAAAAAAAACTAATTAAAATTACGAATTAATTAATTACTCATCATGTAACACATCGAATACCACTACCATGTTTTATACAAAAAAAATACCGAGCCTTATCGTTTCGCTGTCTGGCTTAACAATATTATGTTCTCTGCTATAAGAGTTAAAAAAAAAAGCATTAGATTTTATTGATATCGTCTTAGATTTTAGTTTCAACATCAACATATTGTTATTATACCAACTTATTATCACATATATAGTGTTATCACATTCATCTAAACATTTAGCAAGGCAAAATCGCTGGACACAAATGGAGGTACATTAAAACATTCAATATGATTAAAAAAAAACAATCAAATTTGACGAAAATGAATTTCTAGTGAGTCACAGGGCCTATCTAAATACTATGCGCCACTCACGCCTAAGCCACTGGCTTCCATTGCGGTCATGATGCCAGTACAGCCGAAGGCCAACTCTTCAGCTACCATACACCCATCAAAGACCCCCATGTCCAATCCACCTGTGAAATGATTTTATGCGGCAATAAACACCCATCACAATTAACCGTAGCTGACAAAAAATGATGTCATGAAAAAGAAACAATAACCTAGCAACAAAAAGAGCTTATAAAAGCTTTGTTTGTTAAAAATTACATAAGTAATAACTGTAGCATTGTAAGCAAGCTTTCACGGGATTTTTTTTGCCAACGTCTACGGTAGTAATTCTCCTGTGAACACTAGATGAGGATCATTGTTGAAACTTGGAGTTGAAGAAATCTTCTCTCTCGAAGAAGTCATTAATTAAGATTTACTTTGAGTGAGATGGCGATATAGATCTAACGTAATATTCGTCTGTGCGTTTCATTTATATATAGCGAATTTTCCGATACTATATTCATAAGTAAAAGTGATAGATATACATATAATTATAATTGACACAAATATGTTTTAGCTACTTGATAAATACTTAAAGAAATTTTTTAATAATTAAAATGTGCAGTCTTATAGTTTGATTTTTAAAATAATTTATAAAATATAGCTTTTGCTCGACGTTCATGAACTTGTCAAGTTTAAGTATTAATAAGGATAAAACTTAGTTTTTAAATAAGGATCTCAAAATTCCAGAAAGTGACAGGCTTTTCACAGATATTGAGAAAACTCCACATTTGGTACTTCATAACAACATTCAATATATTCTAATTCTCTTTTCATCGTTTTCTACATTTTTGTCTTCCAATCTGTCTCCTATATAATAAAATAGTAACAAATCTGTACTTACATAAAATAATTTGTCAAAAACAATGACTGTTATGTAACAAATATAGACCCTAAAACCATAGTTGTTAAATATTTTGTCTATTTCCCTGTATGTCTGTTTGTCTGTACATATATATGTTTGCTTTTCACAAAAAAAGTACTAAACGAATTTTCATTCAAATTTGTGTAGTGGTAACTTGGGTCATCATTTAGGTAAAAATATTTTTTTAAACCGTAATATAACTTTTTGGGATGTATTTAATATATTTTGTTAATTTTATACAACTTTTAATAACAAATCGATACCTGTATTGCCATCTTTGGACATTTATGTAAACTATTTTTTCTTTGTTCGTGATGAGACCCCATGGTAAAACCTAGCACATTTCAAACTCTAACGATAAAAGCCCGAATAATGGCGCTTTTTATAAAAAAATACATTTACCAGTTAATGTTGGTGAAACCAAAGATTTATAAGTAAAACCTAAGAATAACAATATACAGGCACATACAAACATAACAAGAATTGTTACCAGAAACACTAAAAAATTGCTAACAAACAGGTTAGTTTACTTGACGTACTTGACCAGACTAATTTGGTGGATATGAAACACATATTGAAGCATGTTACACATATATACATTTCGACTAAAACATCACCAAATATGTGTTATATTTTTTATAAAGTATAACAGGTAGATTACTTTCGGATGGATCCTTTGATTACAAATTGTTTAATTCAAAATAAAATAAAATTTTGTGTTGAGGTGTAGGATGTATGTAGTATGTTGGGCGGCTCATATATTCAAGATGTGTACGGGATGCTATACTTCCATGCTTACTGTATCCACTTTTGATAGACCTAATAAGAGTTACGTCACGTAAATAATGAAGGTTAGAGAAGAGGTTGAAGGCTGAAGAAAACTATGTCCCAATTACGTAAGGCATTGTGCTTCTATATCATAATAAAAATGATTTGTATAATACTTTCTTAGATTTACGCGAATATTTGACATTTTAAATAAAACTATCTTTTCGGATTTTGTCGCGGATTTATTTGTATTTTTGTTTCCCGACGTTTCGAATGCTTTACAGCATCCATGGTCACGGGAGAGACTGAGGTGTTACATGTCTTAAAGATATAGTTGTTACAGACAGCCTACCCACAATTAACAAAATGAAAATTGCACCAATTACATTACAATATTTTAACTTTAAATATTTTTATAATTTTAATTAATTGAATATGGAAAATTATTTATTTAATTTTTGCTATTATTTTTATAATTATTACTAACAACTATATCTTTAAGACATGTAACACCTCAGTCTCTCCCGTGACCATGGATGCTGTAAAGCATTCGAAACGTCGGGAAACAAAAATACAAATAAATCCGCGACAAAATCCGAAAAGATAGTTTTATTTAAAATGATTTGTATAATAAGACACTTCGTAAAATACAAACTATGGAACATATTTTTGCGGAACTAGCACAATAATTTGTATTTTTAGTATAAATTCCTCTAACCTCCATTACACAAATGAAATTTCATTTTACCCTTTGCCTGTAATTGCGACATTTAGCATTCGATAATAATGATGATGAATTAATTTTGTTTTAAAGTTGATATTGGATTACATTCCACTTTGTAAAATTATATTTAACCCAAAAAATTGTAAATTTTGTAAGCATTTTAAATTTAACATGAAGAGATTAAGAACATATTGGCTTTTGTTTAAAAAAACTTAACCGTTTCATTAACTTACTCCTAGGCCTGTGGCGCCCACAGCTGTCCCTATACCGGTGCATCCAAAAGAAAGTTCTTCAGCGATTACACACTCGTCGAAAACGCCAAAGTTTCCTATGCCCCCTGAAATAAATCTTTTACCATCTCAGGTTGGCAGTAATGTTGAAGTTAATATTTACTTTTAATATACCTATTTTATCGGCGAGTATACACGACTATCGTTGGTTATATCGACCAATCGACGGTGCGATTGATGGACAAATTTAAATTCTCATGTATACCAAACTTATATAGTAAACTACTCAAATATAAATTAGTATAAAGACGCTAGTAAGAGATCAGCAAATCCCACATGCACCAAAATATTATTTGCCTTAATATGCTCACTGCGACTTCGGTGATATACATCGCTGCCATTATCCCAGAACAGCCAAAGGCTACTTCTTCACAGATTAAACTATTCGACAAGACTCCTAAGCCTAAGCCTCCTGCGAAATTATACATTTTTACGATGTTGCTTATCAGCGTCATTTATGCGACTACTTACAAATACAGGAAGATAAAGCTAAAGTAACGTAGTTCGCTGTAAAATAATTAAAAAGATAACGTAGTAATTAAAGTTAAAGTACAATTTTTATCTAGAAATTAAGCTGGTACTGTCACATGGTCTATAAAGCCATGAAACAACTAAATATAATAAATTTCGTAATATCATATTTTAACTACATAAAATTCTACGGTAGAAACTAACATTTTTAATCATTGTGGAAATATGTACTGCACTCGTGTACTCGTGCAGTGGACATACACCGCAATTCCATAGGCATATATTATATAGTTCCAAATTGCTTTTCAACTTTTTTCTTGAGAGATTTCCCAAACTCCAGATCCAATATATTTATATATTTTATTGTCATAGTGTTCAATATCATCTACATAATATCAATTTCTTTTTCGTTATAGTAGAAAAAAAAACAGGTACCTATAACTACAGAAATATGTATTCTTGTGGGTTTACCCACACTTGTAGTCGATAATTGCAGTATCAGCCTATGTTAAAATTGTTAAGGTCAAGACGAATTACAAACTTTCTCAGTTTAACTATTCTCCTAATCCATACTACTAATATTATAAAGAGGTAAAGTTTGTGAGTTTGTGACGTCGTAGGGGGTAATCTCTGGATATACTGAACCCATTTAGATGAAATTTGGTAAGAAAATAGTTTGAGACCCTGGAAAAGACATAGGAAATGTTTTGCCCCAAAAATCATCCCTTAAGGGGATAAAAATGGGGATGAAAGTCTGTATGGTGAATCAAGTCGCTAGTTTGAAAATAAAAATATTTAGTACTCAATCGAGTATTATAGTTAGAATTTATTAGTTACGGGCTTGATTTATGAGCTGTGAATATTTTTTAATATGTTATTCAAATTAAACGACAAATTCAAAATTCGAGCGCTTAAGATATTATTACCACAATGTTCAGGCACGTGTCCGTTCATTAGACCAAGTTCCCAGGCTTTCTTTACGATTGGCCACGGGTATTCTCCGGTTTTGTCATACTGTGCCGCCACAGGAATTATCTCCTCCTTGGTAAACTTGCGGGCCAGATCTTGAAGTGCTTTTTGTTCATCGTTCAGTTCTGTAATTAGGTTTATAAAAATTTTATTAGAAATAAGTGAATTTTAAACAAAGGGTAATTATTATTTAAAAAGGCAAAATTTAATCTGAATCAAGAATCATATAAATTTTAAATGCTAATTATTATGTAAATTGAAATACTTCTATGTAAATTAATTCGCTATATATTCGCAATGACGTCACATTGACTGGCTGTAGGTATAGCGTAATTTTTATTTTTTTGAAAAATCTTATTGAAATAGTCATTATTATCGGTACAGAGGTCGAATCTATAGTTTTTAGAATTTTTGTCTGTCTGTTTGGAAACGCCTCACGAGAAAACCACTGGACAGATTTTGATGAAAATTGGTATGATGATAGCCGATTATCCGGGTCAACATATAGGATACTTTTTACTGCAGGAAATTATCTCATCTCTGAGAAATCTATACTAAACGTTAAAACGTAACTATGGCCCGAGCGGAACGAGGGTAGTCGCTAGTAGAATCTTTACATAATATAAAGTGAAGTCGCTTCCGCTGTCTGTTCGCTTAGATCTTTTAAACTACTCAACAGATTTTAATGCAGTTTTCAGCAATAGATAGAATGAGTCAAGAGGAAGGTTTGTATGTATGATACATGCATATTATAGTACAGAAAAGCCGAGAAATTCAAAGATTTGTATTTCATACTAACCGTTAAAACGTACCTAGGGACGAACCCGTACGAAGCAACTTAAGTCGCTATTTATAATTATAAACATTTGCTTGTGTGTCTCTTTAGTAATTGTAATATGTTTTGATTTACGGCATTTGAAGGGTTTGAGATTCAACACAAATTCCGATTTTTTTATTTCCATCCGATCACATCACAATACATAAGTACATACAATCCAATAATATTATGAGTTGTATGGATCTTTGTGCAAGCTGTAGGTAAGTACCTAATAACCTACGCATATACCTAACTGATGTCTTAGAGGAGGATAATAAAATTAAATACTGTGAATAAAAATAAATAAAAGTAAAAAAATAAAAAAAACGTATAAATATTACATATTCTAAAACGAATAGTTATTGTAAAAGTACACTTTATATAAAAAAGAAATTATCAGTATCCGAGATGTGTTATTCTCTAACTTATTGATATCGTAAGATAACATATAAGAGGGTTTTGAATAATGGACTTAAGATTAGATCATCAATCATCCTATCGCTGTCCACTACTGAACAAATTGGGAAATGCATTTAGGTATATCACCTGCATACATACAGGTTATGTGGGACTCACCAGCAAAGTCAGTACTATACACTAAAACCCGACAGAACCCGCCTTAATGGGGCTTTGCAGGATAGCTTTGGCACTCAACCACGACGCCCCGACGGCAGGTCTGCCGAAGCAGATCACAATCCAACAGTCTACGCTCAGAGAAGTACCACGAGCAACCCGCACGGCACACCGCCCACAGAGGTGGGCTGCCTTCCAGTGCGTTTCTTGGCTTCGCGCCCGGCTGGATTGCCGGACGCTAATGAGAACCACCACGAAAAGATGAACGCACAATGCTGGAGGTGGAGAACAAAGGCCTCCTGGACAGCCTGCATCTATCCACTGTCCACCACTTATCTTAGGGCATTTGTCAATCTGCATTGTACTGCTGATTGTATTACATTATGATTCTCTAAATGCGGTTTCCACTCTAGCATGTTCTGGCTCCATCGACCATCAGTTCGTCTGGAGACATGACCTGCCAACTTCCTCTTCAGCGAGCTAATTTTGTGCGCGATGTCGGTTACTTTAGTTCTCTGGCGAATGACTTCATTTCGAATTCTGTATTCCAGAGAAACCCCAAGCATCGCACGTTCCCCGAGAGTAATCCCATCAGAAATATAACATGTAAAAAAATTGCAAGTATCGCAACGCGCTATAATATAAACCTGCCTATAATTTAAATAGTAAAAGGAAAATATATTGTAAATTTAATTAAAATATTTTATCATTTTCAAACGAAATTTATATTTGACATCAACGACGCAAATTAAGGCATGATGAAGTTTGTTTATGTCAAAATATTTATAATCCCATCAAAAACATTCTGTAAAAAAATTGCAAGTCTCGCAACGCATTTCTTCTACCGCAAAAAGCTATGAGATGTAATGTAAAACCAAGTCGGTTAATTTATTCATTACCTATCTATGGAAGCATCTATCCGACAACTTTGTCATAAATCGTTACCGAATTAGTTAAGTTACAACATTTTATAGTGACCGTATTAATATTAGATATATTTATTTCTTTAATTAATAGAATGACTTGGCCATCGCACGGAAACATAATCACATATGACTCTACTACTTTAAATACTCCTAATTAAACCTATCATGACCAAGGTGGACGGACGACTTGGTAAAAGTCGCTGGAGCCCACTGGATGCGGATGGCACAAGACTGGTTGTCGTGGAACTTTTTGGGGGAGGCCTATGTCCAGCTGTGGACGTGTTTGGGCTGAGATGAACTGAACATAGCACTAGCGGGTCAAATTTATGCATACACTAACATAAATAATGCACTCAGAACGCTAATTTTAGGTAAATTTTGTTATTTGTAGATTCTATTATCATGTGCGATAGCCAAGTCATTCTATTAATTAAAGAAATAAATATATCTAATATTAATACGGTCACTATAAAATGTTGTAACTTAACTAATTCGGTAACGATTTATGACAAAGTTGTCGGATAGATGCTTCCATAGATAGGTAATGAATAAATTAACCGACTTGGTTTTACATTACATCTCATAGCTTTTTGCGGTAGAAGAAATGCGTTGCGAGACTTGCAATTTTTTTACAGAATGTTTTTGATGGGATCTCATTTCTTTTTGTAAATATTTCTTCTTTTTCTCTTTTCTTGTACTATATCTTGTGTGTCAGCTAAGGACTTTTTAAAAGCCTACTCCTTGTCTCTGTGGGCTTTTTTCAGAGGCTTTGATATAGGTAACAAATTTTGACAACTCTGGATGATAAAAAGTCTAAGTCTATTGTATTGGGAAATTATGGACTCCTGGACTTTAATACTACTATCTTATGCATTAAGTATAAATATGTATAGTTAATTTAACGAATATTTTAATTTCATTGTTGACCCTGAATACCTACCCCGATACTGATATTCGACTTACATAAGTTTAATAAGACGTGTAGATTTATGTGTCTATCTGCAGCATCGTAGTTAAATCCCGAAAGTTGTATTCCATTCCATTTTAAAAGTAATTTTCGAAGAGATTGATATTTCATGACCTCTATATTCCATGTTCTAATAGGTGGGTACAATTACGAGCAATGAGGTGTTGACAAGGTTTTCTAATTCATATCAACATCATACTTTGTAAAAGAAAATGTACGAGCTTTGTTTCAAAATTAAGTAATCGTCAAGTTGTTTCTTAATTAGGTATATATTTTAATCAATTCATTATAAATAACAGTAATCGAATATTAGTAGGTATAAACTATACACGCTTCACATTACATTTATGTACCCATTTGTATGTGTATAAAAATGTATACAGCTACTAAAAACGCTTAAAATATTATTTTCGCATTTAAAAAATACTTTTCTAATACATATAATTGCAAATATAAACATTAATAAATAGACCAATCGAAATTAGGTTAGTAATTACGAGGGAACATAGGATCGGACGTACAAACATACATACCTACAGGTAAAGCACTAACCTAACCCCCTTTTACAGTGCAACTATTGTATAATTAATTTACCATTAATTATAAATTTCATAAGAAATAGTTAATTATAAATTGCATAAGAATATATGAATGAGGTGAAAAAAATAAAAGTAAGATATCGGGAAATGAAAAAATAATATTTAATTTAAATAATGGAAGGAAAAAATAGTGTAAATTTAATTAAAATATTTTATTATTTTTAAACAAAATTTATTTTTGACATAACGGCACAAATTAAGGCAAGCTATGATGAAGTTTATTTATGTCAAAATATTTATATTATGTGCTATTTTATTATGACCTATTATTTAAAAAAATACCTAAGCCTTCTAGCGTTCCTTGACGTCGTTGAAGTGGAGAAATTGACTAACAAATTAAATACTTAGTGATGACAAACGGAACTCTGAGAAAGATATATTTTAAGTTGGATATTTAAGTTAATAAAATAATATATGAGTTATTCCTGTGTTTTTTTAACATGACTAAACTAAATATTGATAAATACATATTGTATGTATTAGTCAAGTAGAAGTCGAACTAACGCTTCGAGGGCTCTGTACTTTTTTTTTTATAGTTGGGAAATCCTATTACGGATACCACCCGACTTCCCCCGGGCGACTCTCGCTACGGAACACACGAGTGTTCGATTACTTGTATATTTTTTTTTATATTTAAGATCTTTTATACATATAAGTTTTAATTTATATATTAAATATATTATTTCTTAAAACTATTTACAATATTGATAATTACATTTTAGTCGTCGCTAACACTTACAGTATATCCACTATTTACCCAGCTATACATTTGGGTAGTTTAAGTGACGAAAAATGATATGTACGAACTGCAAAAATAACTTTGTAATCCCATATATCGCATATCTATTTGTATAGGAATACAAAGTTACTTATGCAGTTTGTATATCTCGAAAACAGGATTGAAATTGCGTGATGTTTGAGTTTTTCCTTCCGTTATAGGCTAAACACTAATTGCGTTCAAAATTTGAAGCTCCTATGTCTGCTAGAAGTACCTTAGAATTTTGATGATCGGTGAGTGAGTGAGTGTGTGAGTGACGATATTAACGAATTTTGATCTGCAACAGTTCTTAAAGTACAGGTTCAAATTGAATGTAATTTGGAAATATGCCTAGTTTTATTATGTTCTTTTAGTCACTGAAAATTCAGGCTTCTAGCTTTATCCATAACGAAGTTATGGGGGGGTGGAAAATGCTCTGAATCGCTTCGAGTAAAGGATGGTACTGTCGTGCCCTTTTTTGCTCGACTTGGCGGGGGCACTCCGTGCCCCCCGATATTATGTGCTATTTTATTATTGACTATTATTTTAAAATATAAAAACAACACCATTATATAAAAATAAAATACGTAAGCGTCCTAGCGTTAATAACATCGTAAAAGTGGAGGAATTGACTAACAAATTAAAGCCTTATCACTAGGTCCGCCTTCGAAACCCCACCACGTCAAGTAATTTATAGCTAGCCACTGCCGTTTGTGGTACTATTTGTTACTACATCCATATTATACGTAATTCTTCTATACGTGTGTTTGTCAAATCTAAGCGGCTGGACCGCTTAAGATGAAATTTTATGTCTATATTTCAATGAGTTCTTGAATGGTTTGAAAATACAGCCCTATAGCCCAGCGGGTGATCGTGTGAAGTTTGGTAGCGATCTGATGTTTGGACGCGGGCGACGCCGCAGGTACTGCTAGTTACGAGTATAAATATATTTGCAAAAGATTGATGTCATAAATTATATTTTGATCTTTATTAAATAGGAACCAACCCTTGGTATTGTTGTTAAATGATATAAATGTTTTATGTTTTCCCACTTGAAATTTTTTCTTACTTATTTACTTTATATACTTCATTTTTCATTTACCTTTACCTGTAATGTACCTAAAGGATCTTGAACATTAAGCCTTAAAAACCTAGATTACTAAGCATTCGACATCCGATAAGACGAAGAACTGCCACTGGCAGTGGTAGCCCAGTGGTAACGCGCTCGCTTGGGAAACCGAGTGAAGCGGGTTCAAATCCCGGGTCTCGCACCTCTGATATTTTCATGTGCGAATCATTTCTAACATGATTACCACTTGCCTTATGGTGAAGGAAAACATCGTGAGGAAACCTGCATGTCTGAGAGAACCTAACAAGTTTTCGAAAGACATGTGAAGTCCGCCAACCCGCACTTGGCCAGCGTGGTGGACTATGGCCTGATTCCCCTCGTACTGAAGGGAGGCCCGTGCCCAGCAGTGGGACGTGAAAAAGGGCTGAATACAATACAAGACGAAGAATGTACATTCTTCGATTCATTAAGTTTTAGAGCGAGCGAAGCCATTTCGCTAGTAATATAGTCTATCTATTTCACACTAACCGTTAAAACGTACCTAACCGTTAGTCTATACTAATATAATAATTAGGTAAATTTTATTAGTTTGTGACGTTATAGAGGTAATCTCTGGATCTACTGAACCGATTTAGATGAAATTTGGTAAGAAGATAGTTTAAGATCCTGGAAAGGACATAGTATACTTTTTATCCATAAAATTATCCCTTAAAGGGGTGAAAATGAGGATGAAAGTTTGTATGGGGAATCAAGCTAGGGAGTAGGGACGTAACCGAGCGAGGCGAGGGTGATTCGCTAGTTTTATATAATATAGGTATCATTACGAACTAGTAACCTAGGAAATAACAAAAATTGAACTTTGGAATCGGTTTTCTAAAACAAATATATAATTTTTATTTTAATTGTTTCTCAAAGATACGCATTCTCAACTAAAAACGTTACGGATCCTCATTATAAATGATCTATAATCTAGACACCATTTTTTATAAATTTACTTTTAGCTATACTGACAATTTGTATAGGCAACCATATCAACCTTGAACCTTGTCCTTGTATATCTCAAGCCGATAAATATAGACAATTTTTCATTTTATATTAGTACTTAACTAATTGTACTGCGGTATGTTTATTTTAATCTTAACTGAAGATTAAAGAGTATGATAAATTGTGAATGATTACGATAATGAAGGCCACACCAAGTTTTGCAAGTATTAACTAATAAATAATAATATTATGTAGATATGCGCATCCTATTTAAAGATTCGATCACAAATACGATCCAAACACAAACGAAAACACATAACATTAGAATGCAATGTTTAAATTTGTTATTATATAATATTTATTATAATGTTATACAATATACAGGATCATTTTTAATTTACTTAAGACCTTTTGGGAATATACTGTTTAAATCATAATAACAACATCTGTAAGTAAAAAAAAAATATTTCTTTTATTTTCATACAAAAATGAAAATATATAAATATTGCACCTAAACGGTATTAGTCTAACTAGCATCTGGTCTTTAAATGTGTAAGCGTCGCCTCCTGAACCCCTCCACCCCTCCCACTCAACCGGCTATGCGCTTTCTTTTGCTAGGACATTTATGGCTGATTTCACCAACGTCACCTAAGTTTAAGGGATCCCCTAACCATGGTTAGGGGCAGCCCCCTAACCATGGTTAGGGGATCCCTTAGGGGACAGTTTCTGTTTCACCGACAGTTAGGGGTCACCTAAATGTTAAAACGCCACCTAAATATAGGTATTAGAAATACGGGCTCTGACGATGGTAATACGAAATTTAATTTAGGAGCTAGTTAAGGGAATCTTTTAAGCTAGGGATTCCATACGTAGGTGGTAGCTGAAGTGATGTTGGTGAAGTCGGGCATTACTGTTTCAAACAGTACCTAGTCCTAGTAAATGTCCTAATAAAATAAAAAAATTAAGAAATATGTTTTTTTTTTCGTGTAGAAGTTGTTGTTAGGATGTAAATAGTATATTCCCAAAAGGTCGTCAGTGAATTAAAAATGACCCTGTATACTCTTATGCACTATTAAATAGCTTACCAAAACATAATCCAGTAGAAGGTATAGGTTTATGTGCCGAAGCGACTGCTTTAGTCGTTGACAGCTTGCGGTAAATAGGACGCGAAGCGCGTACAACCTGTATTAAAAACCAAATAGTTGAGTACATAATATGTTTTTTTTTAGTTTTGTCTAATATATAATTTGCAACCTAGTATCATATTAGCTTTACGAAAGCTGATTAGCAATTTTTGAAAGATTGCGTTGGAAAACAAATTACTTGGCCATCGTACAGAAATTTAGCACATAAGAATAATCATGAACGAATTGTGGTTAATTCGTTCATGAGAATAATCTACTATATTATTTATAGTCTTTCAAATTCACAATACTTTGTTCAGCATTAAATTATTATATTTTTTTACTGAACGTCATGAGTCTACTACCAGTACGGAAAGAAGAAGCCACAGACCTGAGAAGAACTGACGAAAGAAACTCATAATATTAACTCGTTATTTTTTTTAAGGTAGAATTATAATTTACAATATTTCTAGTTGAAGTGGCCTGGAGGCGATCATTTCATTCCCAAGGTGTGCTATCTTCTATAAAATCATTTATTGTATAATAGCCTTTAGCACACAAGCGTTCTTTAACAATATTTTTTATTTGACGATAGAAGCCTTTTGAACATTTTCTGGGATCCTGTTGTACAAGCGTATACATTGTCCATAAAAAGAATTACGGACTCTGTGTAGACGAGTCACAGGCATTACAAGTTTGTGTTTGCTCCTAGTATTACTATTATTTTTACGGACATACATAAAATTTTCGTACACGTACTGAGAAGCAACAGTCAATATTTTAATTTCTTTAAACTTATCTCTTAATGACACTCTATTACCTAAACTATAAATTACACGAATAGCTCTTTTCTGCAGGACAAAAATCGTATTAATAGCAGCTGCATTTCCCCATAGTAAGATACCATAGGACATAATACTATGAAAATAACTAAAATATACTATGCGAGCTGTATCTACATCAGTACTAATTCTTAATTGAACAAACATTGTCAAATTTATGCATATGTAACATAAATAATGCGCTCAGAACGTTAATATTAGGTAAATATTGTTATTTGCCGTGTATGATGGCCAAGTTATTCTATTTGTAAAATAAATTAAGATAAATATTGATACTAATATTGATGCGGTCTCTATAAGATATTGTTATTTGACTAATTAGGTAACAATTTATGACAAAGTTGTTGGATAGATGTTTCTATATATAGGTAGCTTTACATTCGATCTCAAAATTTTGCGGTAGAAGAACTGCATTGCGAGACTTACATTTTTTTGCATGTTATGTTTTTCATGGGATCTCATTTCTTTATAGACCTCAATCTCATTACTTGCCTTCGTCATGCTGCGCCGACTTTTACGTATAGTATAGGTATATTCTATAGTATATGTGTATTTTATTATATAATTACAAAGTTACTTATGCAGTTTGTTGTAAATCTAGAAAATGTGACTGGAAGCGCACAAAATGGGGGGCATTTAAAATATCCGTATTTAATTTTTATTATAATATTTTTTTTACAATTATATAATGATGTTAATGTTAACTATTGTATAAAAAAATCACACATATTTCCTATTGTGTTTAAAATTTGAAGTTTGTATCTGCCATAAGTACCTTAGAATTATGATGGGTAAGCATTTGGGTCAGATGGAATATCATTGTGGTGTTTTTATAGGCTGATGAAATGGGGTTGCTAATTTAATTTTTCAATAAGTTTTTACAACAACAACATGCTCTTCTGTGCCGGGCCTAACCATAAAACTTAAATGATACATTTGTCTCAGTTTGTACCCTACTTGCTGTGCCAACGGTCGCAGATTTGAGTCATGCTGGTGGGTGATGAGCATGAATGTTTGTACTCCAGTCACGGGTGTTTTATTTATAATATATGTATGTATTTAAAGTTATATATGTAGTGTATCAACTATCTAATATACATAACACAAGCCTTGTAGCTTATCATGGAACTAGATGATGCCATGTGTTAATGTCTCAACATATTTATTATTTATTTATTTAGAAGATTATTAATTACAAGATTCCAACAACTAAAGAGGAATAGAGATCATGGCACATAGTATACGAACTTGCAAAAGATTATGGAAAATCCAATGAGAGGAAAATGTGGTAGCTTGGTGCATACTGTTGCATTACATTACTGAAAAAATGGTATAAAAAATTGGAGAATATCCGATTGAAGATCAGCAGAATTGAAACTGAACATCTGTTCTGTGACTTCACTAAGTACTCTCTCTAAGTGTTTTAAATTAAAAAAACAGTGACACTGAAGCAAGTAAGAGTGACAGGTATTGAGGATAATTTGTAACCTGTGTATGTCTCTAAAGCTTAAGTGTTAAATTTATAAGATAGTTAATAAATCCTGTTATGGTGTATGGATCAGGTTGTTGATCAACCAAAGAAACAGATAAATAAAAAAAATAGATTTTTGAAGTTGAATGATTACTTGTTATGTACCCTACATACTGATGATATAATTATGATATAAAAGTTACTAAGAGTGATTTTAAGAATGAATATATTAAACAAATTTAAAAAATATATACAAATAACACCTGACCACAAAAAAGCTGAAGCTTGACATGTTATTAATAATCATAAGCAAGACAGTATTAATTATGAATGCAGATGGATTTAGAAGTAGAGGAAGACTGAGGAAGGTATATATGTGAAAGAGGATATGTGTGTAAAAGGTATGTATTTGTGTTAAAATTACAGGGAAAGACAGTAATGGATAAAGAAAACATGAAGTGTACATTCCACGGGATGGGATAAGTACAAAAAGAAGAACTAGATTATTCATTAGAAATTTAAACAAAAAATATTAACTATCCATAGCTAAAAAGATAGAAGTGTAAAGTGGATTTGTACTGCTTTAGCAAAATATTTTAGTGTTTATAATATTTGTACAAATAGAGTTTTTAAATGAAATATTATGTTACGAATGTATCAAAAGATAATATGTATTTCTTATGTGAAAGCATAAAGTGGACTTTGGACTTGTTCTCAATATAAATATTGTAACATGACTTAAAAAAATGCTAAATCAGATAATAATGCATTTCAATGTTATATATTTCAAATAAATTCAATAAAAGCCTACAAATATTAGAATATCAAAATATAAACGATAATATTCATTTATAAATTGAATGTAACTTACTTGAGTAAGAGGATTCATATCGGTGTTGTTTAATTTTTTCTTGTAAGAAATACAACGTTAGACTTTGAACCGCTATGCTTAAATAACAATTAAGTTCACAGGAAAATTAAAGTTTACTTAACGGAACACAGATGAGCAGCCGTTACAATGAAAAATGTGCTACGTATGTGAAATCTACTCGAAATCTTTCCAATTTATATGTAGTGTACTCTGTACAAAGTTCAAATTATTGCACAGATAAATTATAAATACATAATTAAATAAACAAGTGTAAACGAAACGTAGTGTCAAAATATATGACATTGTAAACATTTTTTGGACCTTCTCTTTCTCTGTCAAGTAGTTCCGAGTTTATTTTTTATAGATTTAGAAATATTCTATCTATTTGGTTCTAAATAATAACATTAAATTAGCCTACGTACTTATTATATTAATTAAAAATATATCTCAACTGAAGAAATACCTGTAACTTTTATAATAAATATTATGTTTTAATTTTTAAGAAATATGTTTTAATATATCATTAAGTATTTTATGTGAATTAATTTAGTAGGTATGTATTTCAAATTCAGAGTAATAAATAATTTTTAAAATATTAATATATGTATATGCTATAATATGTATATAGGCCTTTAAAATGCACAATTAGGAAATCTGAAATATTTTAATATTGGTATAACGTGAATGATTTAAATTAAAAAACCTAATTTTATTTTATTAATGTATGTAATAAAAAAAATACTGGTAAAAGATAGAGAGTACAATATATACATAATATATATGTACACTGTAGTGTTTACCGACTTACTTTGTAAGTAAAAAGACTTGAATGTGTGCCATAAAATCAATCCAAATTCCAAAAAGGGGGCGTTTTACTCTTCTCAAATGGTACAAATGAGGATTATTTCATTTATAATTTATACATAAATGAAATGATGAATCGAATGTGTGTGAACTGTGTTACTAATGTTGTCGTTGATAATAAATAATTTTCTCATCAACCTTTGTGAAAGTATTTTAACAGGTCTTACTTAATTTACATTCAGTAGTAATTACATTCATCAATCTAACATTTGATTAGTTATAGTGTCAAATTATTCATAGATCTGTGGTCAATCTATTTAAAATAGCGTCTGAGATTATTCGTAATTGCTTATTTGAACAATATATTATGATAAAAATGTAATAAGTAAGTGTAACTATCAAGATGCGGTGTAACAATGTGTTCTCTTTAGTTAGGTAGAAAGGACGATGTCATTTTAGTAGGTAGGTCGTTCAAACGATTGGTAGTTGAGTAGGTGTTCGATCGGTATGTGGCATGAGCAGGCTGTGTTATGAATGAGGAGGCTCTGTTGGCACGAGCTTCCGAGGAGCGGGAGCGTATCTTCCAAAGATACGAAAGAGGACGTGACAATCTCGTTGGCCAAATAGACCCTTGGGAAGATCCAGAATTTGAAGATTACCATAAAACAGATAGGTATAGTAATTTGTTTTAATCTAGTTTACATTGTGTTCATCTACTTCACAATTCCCAGATATCTTTTGTTTTCACACTAAGTACCCTTATTAGGTGAATGTGAGTAGAAAGTTGTTAATATAAATAAAAAATTTGCATGCATTGGTGACAATACTTAGCTTTTCTATTTTTCAAAATGTGTTTGTATGTAGTACTCTACTAAAGTAATAATTGTTGTGTCATTTTATTTATTGTTATGATTTCAACACAATTTATGTATGTATATATCAATAATGAAAAAGGGTAAAAAATTGTTACAGAAGAAAATTATTTAGCCTATGAAAACATATTCTATCATAAATAAATCTAGCTACATGCTATAAATTATTATATTCTCAATCGAATAAGGCTTTTGCGAAGTTATTTAAAAATATTTACTGTGCTATTATACTAATTAGCAAGCTGGGCTGGCCTGTAGTGAATTTTATTAAAATATAATCATGATATTTCCTTATATGTACAATCACTTCAGTTATATTGATAATTTTGCAAAATTGATATTTTTAAGGTATTTTTAATATGAATAATAAATAAAACAATTGTTTGTTTCATTGTTTTTCCTTTTATCTTTTATCTGCTGGAAAAACATAATGAAATGTAGTCGGTAGGTCTTTTCAAGTACCAAATATTTTTAAAAATAGGTACCTACCATGTTTTAAAAAAATTTATTATTGATCTTACTTTTCTTCATTATTAAAATATTAATCACATTGTAAACTGAAGTTACATATTTTGATTACACAATGTAAATTATAATACAAGTCTCTTTTCATTGTAGTATTGTATTAATGATGCTGTGCTTCTTTTGTGTTGTGTACCTGTTGTTAGACATTTAGGTATTTTGCTATGCAGAATGTTGATTTTTTTAATGAAAATGAATTAAATAAAAAAAGAAATTGTCATTATACAAGTTATAAATTCAGTTCATGTAATACATATAAATCTTGAAGACTGTTTTTTAAATTTAAAATTTGCTATTTTATTTCTTACATAAAATAACCTTTTTAATTGAATGAAATTGTTTAATAGATATAGTAAAAAGTGATGTTTATAAATCAGCACAATTTTTATAAAAAAACTAGCAGTAACCGCGGCTTCGCCCGCGTTTAAACTACTAAAAATTGTCTCTTTGACACACCAACAGCAGCACCACCTACCGGGTCCAATTGTGTTTTCAAACGATCAAGGAACCCATTAAAATATACACACAAAATTTCATCCAAATCGGTCATACTCTTTAGGAGGAGTAAGGTGATAAACACACATACAGAAGAATTATATATATTTAGATTAAATGCTTGCAAATACATATATGGTGGACAAGTATACAAATGTTCATGTAATAAACAAATCTTTATGTACTAAACAGAAATTATGTTGAATATTGGAGCTTATGTTTTTATTTTTTACATTATTCAACTTATATCTACTGTTACTGGTGGAAGATAACTGAAAATAATCTAAACTTAGATTAACCTTATTTTTTTTTATTTAAACATAGTAATTTATAATATTTCAGATATGGCTTCATACATGATGAACGTCTTACACAGAAGACAGCACCACAGAAAGTCAATGTTGAGGTTGAAAGAGAAAAGAAATGGGTCAAAATGCTTGGATCCTGGGATTCTCAAACAACAAAGGAAAAGTTACATAGAAGAATATATAAAGGCATTCCAAACTCCTTGAGAATAAAAATATGGTGCAAACTATTAAATGTAAATGCCATAAAATCAGAAAACCTTGGGAAATACCAAGAAATGCTAAAATTAGCAAAACATTGGTCCACAGATGTTAGGCAAATAGATTCTGATGTTAACAGACAATTCAGGGAACACCAATTCTATAGAGAGAGATATTCAGAAAAGCAGTGTTCATTATTTAATGTTTTATGTGCTTATAGCATGTACAATTCTGAAGTGGGCTACTGCCAGGGCATGTCAGGTTTAGCAGGTGTATTGCTCATGTATATGGATGAGGAGGATGCATTTTGGGCACTTACAATCCTTTTATCAGATAAGAAATATGCCATGCATGGATTGTATGTAGAGGGATTTCCAAAGCTAACACGGTTTCTAGAGCATCACGATAAGATACTTACCAAGTTTATGCCCAAGTTGAAACATCATTTCGACAAGTTCGGCCTTGATGCCATACTCTATTCTCTTAAATGGTTCTTTGTTTGTTTCGTGGAACGAGTGCCCTTCAGCTTATGTTTGAGAGTGTGGGATATTTATCTGCTCGATGGAGAGCGTGTTATTACTGCTATGGCGTATACTATTCTTAAACTTCACAAAAAAGCTATTATGAAATTGAATGACATGGACCTTATTGTAAATTTTATTCAGGTATTTATTAATTCTGACGGAATGATACAGTGTAATTTTAAGTGTTTAATATATGACTTAATATACATTTTTTTAGGTGAAACTTCATAAAGACTTTGGGTTTGAAGATGATGTTGTTATATATCACTTAGAGCGATCTATGGAAGAATTGAAGCGTGCTAAACTTGACTACCCGGGCCCACCTCCTGCTTCAGAACTGCCACAACGAGCTCTTGGAATTTTCGTAGAACCAGATAAGAAATCAAAAATTGGTCAACGAGCTGAAAATTTTTCAGAAACTGAAAAGCAAGCCCGAGCCACAGTAATTTTACGGTAAGATAGTTTTTAAAGAATTTGAGATTAAAGTTAAAGCTGTATTAGTGTTATTAATAAATAATTGTATTTTAAAAGTAAATTTTACTAAAATTTAATAAAATCTGTTTAAAGTTATAAAATTTTTAGATCTTTGCTATGGAATTTGAGACTTGTTAGTAACAAGTATACTATACAAAGATATACGAATATTATTTGTGTTATAGTTCTTTAAGATATTTTGTAATCATCAAATACAGATTTAAAAAGAGCCGCTACATAGAAATTTTTTATAATATATTTACCTAAAAAAGAAGTGACAAATATACATAACTTTAAACACTTTTAAATACATTGATTAGAATTCCTTAGTGGCTGTTTTTGAAACTACTAAAAACAGTATAGTACAGTATTATAACAGTACAGTACTTACGTAACAGCAATAGTTTTAATACTGCTGCTACCATCAAAGAATTTGTTTACCACCAATATTATTTTTAACATCTTATTATAAAATTGATCCTTGTATAGACAGTATCAATCACAATGAAACCAAAAACAAAAGGCATACATTTCTTGGATAACCCTTTTTTATTTCTTATCATTTACTAGTTTTTGCCCTCTGCAAATTTTTTGTAAACCAGTAAGACCACTACATACATGATATACATGCAGTATACTCTCATTCATCCACTTACAAACCTTGACTTGAAAACTTTTGTGAAATTAAGTATAGTACCTAATGAGATAGACATAATATGTTATTTTGGACTTTTTTGACCAACTTTTTTTCTAGTAAATTATGTTAATGTATCTCTTAAGATTTAGCCAACGTTAGCCTTGTAAATTTCTAAGGACGACTCGATAGGACTAGTTTTTGTGTTTTCCCTTAAGAATGAAAGATTTTCCTGTAGTAAATGGTATTCTAAACGTTGACCCGAGTAATAAGTTATCACTACACAAAAACTTGAATTTCGGCTTAGTATTCTTTGCGCGAAATGCAAACAGAAATACAAGCAGACAAAAAATCAATTTAAAAACTATTGTTTACAGTTCTTTATACTGACCATGATAACTTAAAAATCACTGTTTTTAAAAAAATAATTCATATACAGATTTCGCTTTTTTACCTTTTTGTTATTATTTATATTTATAGAAAATATACTCTATATCATTATATGCATTGCCCGCGGCTCCGCCCGCGTTCAGATGACCAAAAACCAAATTCTTAGGTTTTACATATAAGTATACTCTTACATTGCAGTTTTTGTATTTTTTCTCAGAAATGAGATTTTATCCCGCGATAAAGTTTGCTATATGTTGACCCGGATAACCAGCTATCACCATACCTAATTTCATCAAAATCCCTCCAGTGCTTTTTCTGTGATGCGGTAACAGACAGAAAGACAGTCAGATAGACAAAAATTCTAAAAACTATAGATTCGGCCTCTGTATCGATAATAAATTAATGTTTATTTCAATAAGACTTTCCAAAAAATGCTTAATGTACAGATTCGGCTTAGTTATAATTTTATTATATGTATAGATTATTATAAATATATATATTAGGTATATTATAATCTATTTCAGGCGTGAGAAGGCTGCTCTAGAGCTGTCGGAGTTACGTGTGTCTCAAAGTGACACGGTCTCAGGTAATTTGGAGGCCTCACTTCCCACGTCGCTAACTACTTCCGACGAGAGTCTCGACTCTGATCTATTTACGCATTTATGAACTTGTGCACACACTAAATTATATATTTAATTTTTTGTTTTGATTTGCATAGCGTTGACATATTACTTCAACCATTCCAATTGGGATCAAAAATGCCTTTGCTTTTCAATTATATGTGGCTAAATTATAATTTGTGGTATATGCGTATTAAATGTCAATTGTATTAAACAGTAATAAACGATAACAAATAGTATTTCTGAAACAATAATAATCTACACCCAATCAATTTTTGGTTATGGCTGCGAATACTATTGACACATCAGCACAATAGATATTAATGTCTATACGCAGGTGCTATATCTATTCCTTCACTGTCACAAACTATTTATAGTAATATTATAGGACCTCTTTGCATATTCTTTAAGGCACGTGATTTCGACAATCCTAAATTTCCAACTCCGGAAAACATAATTCGGAATCGGTTAATTAATTTGCCTTACAAAAACTACTTTAACTAGATTCGGAACTCGAACCCAAGATCTCATGATCTCCAGTCGTATAATAGCTTATGGCTAGCATAGCACATCTAGTGGATTAAAATGTTAGTGGAAACCGAAAACTAAATTTTGGTATTTGTAAGGAAAGAACAAAAGACTAATGGCAAAAGCAATCGTTATTATGCGGCAGCGAAAATATATGTGGCAGAGATTATAGCATAGTATGAATGTAGTAGATCTGTAGTTACCTAATTAAATCTGCAATAGTTTTCATTGTTTAGGTATTGCATGTAAATGTGTGATTGTAAAAATCAGTCAAAACGTTCTCAAGTATACGGATGAGTGACTGAAGAATGGTCAAAAATATTTGATGGAAGAGTGAGTGCAAGCAAGGCATAATATACGCAATTTTTTAAATTATTTTTTCTCTAGATTCACGCTAGACAGGAATGAAACACAAAGTGAATAATAGCCATTTTTAATCCCATACATACTTCGATAATATATTTGTCAGTGATAAGTTGCACTAGAATGAGACCCATCAAAACTGTTCCAGTGCAAACGCACACACATTTTACCCATAAAAAGAAAGATAATAAAGTATTATAACAATTATTTTCCCAGTTTGTATGTGTATCATAAATTATATTAAATATTTTAATTTAAAAGCATGTTCTCATATGTATGTACGTCATTATTTCTTATAATTAGAAAAAATGTACGGTATTTAATGTAGATTATTATATACTACTTATTTTAGTTCACATTTTAAAATACTCCCAAAACTTTCCATAGATATGTAGGTGTGGATAACATCTTAGTTATATTTTTTATTTGATAGAAATGTAATGACCTACAAGTACAAATTATATAAAAACGTTCAACATACTTGAGTATTGCAAGTCATGTGTTTTTTTTAAATATTTTAAATAGCCTGCTTTAACTGGATTGCAAAGAAATCGAAAGGGAAAGTGTATATATTTTAATGCCTGAACGACAAAACATACGACGACTTGTATTAATTCCACGTTATGAAATATTTCTTTCATAAGCGAAATGAGTCATATTGGTATTTTATATTTAATATTAATTAATTTATTTTTAAAGTATTATACCTTAACATTTTGCAATAACATTATATTATAAATCAAATGTGAGGTTATAAAGTGACTTCTAACCTTAATCCGTTTCTTAACAACGATAGTTAGGAAATAATTAATTATTAGAACAACGGAATCCTCTTTTTTTAAGTTTGTTAAAAAAATCGATGGATTTAGTAACGTTGGAATGTTGGAATATAATATTATCTGATGCCATTATTTATTTAAGGTGTTTCAGACGCTACCTAAGCTTATATTTTTTTAATTTTCTTCTGCCTCTATTGGTTTAGAAAGATTTACATATCTTGATCTGTATTAAATGTATAATATTCATGTAACATGTTATAAACACTTGTTAAATACTTTAAATACCTATTATGTAAAGTTTAAATAACTTGGAAAAAATTAACATTTTATAAGTACTTATAACAGTGAAAACAAGTTCTTAAAAGCACGAATTGATTTGAAAATACGAATCATGCTTCTGTACTAAAGATTTATGTAGCTTAAGTTGAACTTTATGTGACTTTGTACACTATTTATGCTATGAAATAGCTTATTAATATAAGAATGAGCTAAAGGCTATGTCAAGTTTGAAAAAATATATAAACATATAAGTTACGCGATTTTAGAAACTTTGGCTAATAATAGTGAACAGACATTAATATTTCTATTCATATTGTTACGGTATTAAATTTACAAAAACGTAAGGTAACACGGCACACGCAAGGCAATTCAATAAGATAATCTAAAAGATACCCTAGGTCGGTATACAATCGTATTATTATTGACACATTATTACATTTACGTCATGAATTTTTTTATTTTATGTAGTTTATTGTGTATAAAGGTGCATTTTTAATCAGCTTTAAATCCATCAATGTTTGAATCTTATATATATTATATTATTATCGGAGATAGATTAATATCTTCAAATATTAGTGAAAGTGGTATGCCATTGGTCAAATGTCAATTTCCCCATGCTGTCTGATGTCTGAAATTTAATATTTCTTTAGTGATAGTTTCGTCTCATTGTGTCAGCAGCGGCACTACAAGGAGATAGTTCTTTTCTTATTTTAGCCGAGTTAAGCTGACGACGATCTTAAGTACAGTGTTGCTGACACTTTGATGAATTTATTCAATTTCTTTGATCAGTCACATTAAACAATTGACCAGTGTGCTTATTGACCAGTGGCATACCACATATTAAAGTTATTTTAATAAATATTAAGTGCAAAGCCCAATTTCAAACACACAGCCTTTAGCTCATTCTGTTCTGTAAATTTTTATATGCAGTGTTGTACCCACGATAAAGTTTATGGCGTCAAACAAACATACACATTTGATGCCCAATTTGCTTGCCAATTTATTGATTTTTTATTTCTCGCACAGATTTACTAAATAATCTAGTGTTATCATTTAGTTTTTGTGCACTAGCATGGTCATGGTGGTATGCCGGTGGGTTTATGTTAAGATTAATATCGTGCAGATAATTTGCCTTAACACTCTTTGCTTAAGGTTTAAGGAGTATCTAACACCAATTGACTGTTACTAATCATACAAAATCACCTTTACACGTATCCTTGAATCTTAGCATGGCCACGTTTTCATCGTTTTGGAAGACTTTTGTATATCACCTTTAACGGAACGTAACTTGTAGTTTAGTTATATGTCGTTTAAAGCACATATTCTTCTATCTCACTAACAGAGTTCAGTTTAAACTTGTTTTTTATTCATTATTGCGTTATCAACAGTTTACTCTGCTCCAACCTGATTCTATGGATATTATTTCGCTTATTGTTATTGCATAAACCCACCCATATCATCCAGTTTTATACCGCGATGTTGCTTTCAAAGACATTGTTCATATTGTTTAATTGTTTAGCTGTAAGAGACACGCGAGCGTGTTACGTGTTATACAGTTTGAATTATTCAAGTGGGTATAGATGGCGAAATCCGAAATATAAGGTATATTAGAAAATATTAAATGAAAGGTCAAACTCAAAATCTTATTAGAATATGATTCTATATAAGCGTTATTATAGGATTGTACACAGTAACCCGCGATCAGTTATTGTTTATTCAAACAAACCCTAAAATCAGCCTCGTAGTTGCATTGAGAATATTCCACTATTCCTTATAACATTTCGTATTTCGTCATCATGTCCTTTTGAAAAATTCATCCTGTATATGGTAATTTAGAAAATGAAGACACGTTAAAAATAAATTACTGTTCTTTTTAATATGCATTTTATTAAGGAGAGTCACTGGATTGTGATGTGGCAGATTATAATGGTTTTCTATTTTTAGTTTTGCCGCCCGTTGTGGTATGAAGACACCAAACGTAGTACATATCAAAATACCTAATTTATGGTATGTTGTAGAGTATGGTATATTTTATATAGACATCACATAGATTGCGAGTCACAAGTAGATACACCACTGTCTATGCTTACTTTATATATTATTTTTATTTTTCATTGTACAGTGATCTGTATAAAATAAAACGCAAAGTACGCATAACATTCAAAAATAAGTCTTCAGTTTCTAAATAATATAAGAATGTCAAGTAAAATAAATTGTGATTAAAGATTTTTTTCGTAAACTAAAGCACTGAAACATTTTTACATTCTAAATAATATGTTTTTCTTCCATTAGAAAATGTCTTAGCGGTTCCTCTCCATACTTCCCACGCCTCTATGAATATCCTCCGAGAGAACTCCGTGAGTCCCATTCCTTCCCTCTGGAACGATGAAGCTAGACCTAATTATTTAATAAAAACGGATAAACGTAAAATCATTCGTCGAAGAAATGTTTTGTTATAATGTAAATAAATGATAGAAATAAAATTCATTTGAGTTCTGTCAGGTTACGAGCAGAGATTTTTATTTACTTATGCATGTTTTTTTGGCACATTGTTTGCTTGAGATGTGTGTGTGCGCGATCCCTAACCCGAGGTAAGTGTTTTGCATGATTCTTGTTACTTATTCATTCGCTGTTAAATATTCATATAAATTTGTTAGCTTTTATTTGTGATGGGAGTATAATCATCTTATTATGCTAATGTTAATACGTCGAGCAAAAAAGTGGGGATTTCAATTTTTAAGTTATGTAATCTATTAGTGTAACTTTGAACGTATACTAAATCTTTAACGTATTAACAATGGCAATTGTAGGGAAGTCATTAATTTTGGTGTCTGATATGTGGTTATATGGGTATAAAGCGTCATATGACGTAGTAAAGAAGTGTTGTGCTCAGATCACAGCGGCGTGGCCAGCGGGGTCCGGTGTGAAGACTCGGTGTCCGCTCTAGGGTCTCGTCGGTCGCTCGCAGACACTAGTGTCACGAGTACGGCAGATCTCAGTGTCTTCTCTAGCGGCCGGTCTCACGCGCCAGACAACTCTCTGGACACTCACAGCAACATCAGCGACGATGGCACAGGGTCAGATGGGTGAGATTTTACTACATGCACTCTAGTTTCACAAACACACTAACCCTTTTTCATTGCCTATAGTGCTAGATTTGCCAATAAATAGAAAGTATACCCCATTTTGAGAGGATGTTTGGTCAAGTATTTGTATTTATATGTATGTGCAGAACGTAATACAAAATGTCATCTCTGAAATGTGGATAAAAGTTAATGAAATGTAATATTAGCATTTATTAATATTTATTTTTATACTAGTGTAAATCCAGCACTGTATTTACTGTTTTGTTATGACAGCAACAGATAATCGGTTGGCACGTTAAGATTTTTTATGATTTTATGTGCCTATTTGTTCGGGACTGAAGTTTGTATATTTTTTCAGGTATAAGCCGCCTCATTTAATGATACATGCAGGTTTCATTTCAATCAGATTTTTATAAAAAAAATCTAGTGCATATGGTGTCTAAAATTTCTAGTAAATAAATCTAAGTAGGTCATATAAAAAAGAAATCATTAAATTTTTAAAATGAATATCTTACTCAGCTGGTACAAATTTTTACACTAATTAAGATATTGGACTTTCTGCCAGTACATAATGCTACATGATATTTAGAAAATTTTGTACTGATTTATTCACAATAGTAACATCTGAATAATTTAATAGTTTGTAAATAAAATCACATTATAGGAGTTTTATATTAGAGCGTATTACGTAATCTTTATAGTATCTTTTAGTAATGTAATATTTTTAACGTATAAAGCATAAATGACTGCTTTGACTGACTTACACCTTACAATATTACTCCAGGTCCAATATAGTTTGTTTTATATAGATAATAATATTACGTAATTGTACTTGTAACCTTTATTTTTTTCAAACGAAATAGCCAATCATTTATTAGGTACTTCACTTATTTATTTTTGCACAATTTGTTTATTATTCAGTAGTTTACACGTATAATTTCTTGTTTATTGTATGAAATATAACAATATATATATTGCTTTATATATTATATAATATTATATTTACCCGAATTAAACATGCGGTACTCAAGGTGGGGTCAAAGGGACCGCAGCAAAGCAAACCGGTGGCAGAGTTGGCGGTCACAAACTAAGACCTATACTTAGCCTTTACTACGAGGGTTAAAAAATAAGACTGAATTTAGCCGATGCTGTGGTGAGGGTTAAGGTGGGTCACACTCACTTAGCCCTGCAGATAGTGTTGCCAGGCATATTGTAACGCGATCATTTTTTTTTATTTCTTTGCTACGGCTATAAGACATCACTGCGACCATGACTCGTCTATCGAAGATCACATCGCCGCATGTTGAGTTAGAGTTCACCACTGAACCCTGCAGCTGTTACTACAGGTTTTGTTTAGAGGTGCACTCCATTGTATTGAAAATTCAAAAATTCTATTCATGTAACGCGATCAAGTGATACTTAAAGTAAAATAAACGGTAGTACGAACTAGTATTAATGTGATTTTAACATGCACTTTTACGAACTTCACAAACAAGGATTTGTTGGTCTTAGCCTGGGACACCTGGCAACATTTATTATTTTAAGCTCATGTCAAGTCGCAGCAACGTTTCTATTCATACTTACATACCTATTGCTAAAAGTTTGCTTGTTGTTAAAAATTTAGAGTATAATATATAATTTGCCCAAACATTATACATATTATGTTTATGCGCAATTTACTTTAATTTTGCAGCTTTGGTATTCAATATCTACTCAATAGCAAAATAAAAACGCCTGAGAATCTTCAAAGTGAAAACAAATTTACCATAATTTTTATATAATATGAACGACACGTTCATTTTTCAATATTAAATGTTTGTACGTTAGGTACCTACCTACTGTTACCTTTACCACTAATATTGATTGATAAGTTATATAAACTTCTATAAATATTACTAATATACATATGACTTATAAAATGCCTACTTAATATGTACCTACCACCAATCAACCTAGGCTTTTTGTTTAATAGATTATTATTACAATTACACCGCTTGTATGACATTAAACAATATATACGCAATGTTATTGTAATAGAATATCTAGTATCGCTGGTAAGTTTTTAAACTGTTTCAAGTCTCCAGCAACCAATAATGAAATAAACATAAGTTATAAAATTTTCATACATATTTAACGGTAGATTGCTAGCTGCATCGGAAATTACTTGGGCGTATAATGTCTATAGTATCGCTAACTGTGGATAAATATGTATTCTTGGATAGTGCTTTATTACATGAATTAATTATTGGTATTTCAGATCGGGTATTTGCGGTATGAGTATAATACAAAGGGGCACAACGGCACATTCTACCCCTCGGGCGACGCCCCACCCGCCTTCCGTGTCGCCTCAATCTGAAGATGTAGTCCGCATACACGTTACATACAACCCGCTCGCCGCTAGTCCCTCACATTTGCAACCGGTTAGTCCAAACTATAAATCTTACGATAAAGAATATCGTAAACCCGTCTCTCTAGGTTTTTACGCGAGCAATGGCGCTACCAACGTGGCCTCCGATAATAGGATAAGGATACAGGTCTCATCCGATGAACTCTTGACCCCGGTGGTTGACTCAGGCCGCATCATCACGCCATGCTACGTAGAATCGCACTCTGGAATCTATGATATTAAATAACCTCAAATATTTATTTACAGAGCTATTTTGGGGGCGTTTTTTTCAGCTCAATATTTACGTTATTCGTGTAGTGATACAATTTTCGAATTTAGATAGTCTGAGGGAGGGTGTAAATTATTTTTTTGTGTTTTGTATTACTTTATTTTTATTGTGATTTTCTATATTGATGATGCCATATTTTTGTATATTAGCATTCCGTTTTTTACGTAAATTAAACAACTGCCAATTTTGGAAATGAATAATTGTCAATAATTATAAGATCTTTTTAATTTATGATGTATAAGATATTGGTAACCATATATTTTTTATATTATTTAAAGCTAATTATTCGAGGGATAAACTTTATCTCATGTCATTGATATATCTTTATCTCATGCCGGCGATGCCAACGAGGTCTAATGTGTTGACCTTGTCATTGATAGAAAATGTGATCAAAGAATCTCCGATGAATATGAAATCTCTATTGAAATTTAATTATTACTTTCGTTATGCAACATTTTACTTCAATTTATAGTTATTTTACCCAATATGTGTAACGTGCATATTGAAATAGGATTTTTTGGTAAATACCGTACACTAATCAAAGAGTCTAGGACTAGCTATTTTACCATTGTGCATTTTAATTAAAAAATCGTAAAAAAAACAGAGAAGAAGATAGATACACGCTTTTCGGTGGTTTCGGCTTTTAATGTATGTTATATAGAGTAGGTGATAGCTAGTTCATAGTAAGTATAAGACAATGAATGAAATTGAGAAATAATATTTGCCTACTATACACTTTATTATATACGTATGTAGTGGTTAGTTGTATATTTAATCATTGTTGTCAACAAGTGCCGTCACAATTATTTACTAGTAATTTATGACTTACAGTGAGAATCGCAATAATATCATCATAAAAATTAGAAATAGGCGTATTTTGAATTAATATGTCACCGTTTCTCAGATTAGAATAGTGCTTTTCTCATAAATGTCGTTTAAAATTTTCAATAAAATTCCATTAAAGTACATATATTATATAGATTTAAAAAAATCTTTCCATAAATCTGTCATAGATACAATAACTAAGTATTTATAAAATATGCTATGCTGCTAGGAATTATTTTCTGATGTTATATAAAAATGTATTTAGCTATTTTTCATGAACATAAAGGGCAAAACGAAGCAATAAAATAATTCTCTAACAAACACAAATTTTAAATATTTCAAGATTTATATCTCTAGATGAGCTATATCTTGTCTTAATATGATCGTGCTTTCGTGCTACGTTTATGCGTTGCCATTGTAACGCATACCTGTTGAAAAATAAAAATAAGTATTTTGTTTTAAATTAAACGTTTTATTAAAAAGATACATAATAATGATGCAGATAATGTACTTAAAGTTAAAAATAATTATTTAGGTATTAGGTATCAATCATCATATCACTCCTCATCAATTTAGAGCATTGATCAGACAAAAGTAAAATCATTTTATAATTTGTTTGAAGTCTGTTGAAGCTTTGGAAAGTAGCTAGCGTGTCACACACTGTTGTTAGGTCTAGGGACGCAGAGTGTGAGCTCTATCTCAGTATGGACACTTTCATAAGCGATCTAAGTGCAGTAAGGACTAATCTATGGATTGAATTTTTTGAAAATTGTTATATATAAATACTAGCAGAACCCGCGGCTACGCCCGCGTGCAATCTATTAAAAATCTCTTTGGCTTTATGTTATCTTCCCCCATTTTACTCTCTTAGGGGTAAAATTTTAGAAATGGCTGAAATACGTAACTCATTATTTTTGCCCTACTCAATTCATACGAAATTTCATGCAAATATGTCCAAGGAATAAAAAGTTTCATACAAACTTTTATCCCTTATTTCACCCCCTTGGGGGTTGAATTTTAAAAAACCCTTCCTCAGTGCATGCCTTCGTCATATGAGGAATACGTGTGCGTAATTTCAATTTTCTAGCCTTAAGGGTTTGGCCTGTGCGTTGATACATCAGCCAATCACTTTTGCTTTTTATATAAATAGATTTCCTGTATTTCCATAACTTTAGTTAGTCATTTATAGAATGAATCTTTATATTATTAATTATAAAAGTTAATATACTAATTTATGAAATAATTGATTTTAAGAGCGTATTTTGCTTGATATTCATAAGTATTATTTTTGTATCCCAATCACATTAATTATATTAGATAATTATCGTTTCACACAGTAATTTCTTTTATTATATTTTTAATCCATCGTAAAACCAAAGTTATTCCAAATATGTGCTCTCAAGATTTGTTAGATATATTGCATGACACAAAACTATATAGCAATTGGAAAATCCATTTTATGAACACTAAACGAATTTCAAAAATTACAAAACGTACTCCTGTTGATCGGTTCAGAGTTGATCTATACTACTATAGTGTCTAAAACTTTGTATTCCTCATATATATTTACATTATATCTGCCAGGATTGAAATATATAATATACATATCTGATAAAGAACTGTGTCTCAATGTAAGAAATAAATCGAGAAAAAATAAGACATTTCCTTCCTATATATAATATAATATATGTATGAGAAATACGAATCTCATGTTATATTTTGTTTCAAATCGTAATTGAGTCATTTTTTTCCCCTAAAAAATATTCTGCAAACGCATTGTGTACGCCTCCGAATACAAAAGAAACATTTTTCTTGTTTTTTTTTCTGTATTCTGAGATGTAGGTATACTAAAGCTAGTTCTTATCAATTAAGTTATCAATATTTCAAGTCGAATATCGTCCAAATTCAGTTAGTCCAACGTTAAGGTGCTGACACGATGGAGCTGTTTAAATGAAAACCGTGTTCATGTAAAAAGGGTCTTACGGCTTACGATTTATTAAAGGGTTACAGAAAATATATTTGGAAAATAATAATTGGAAAATAATAATTGAAGTTGTCAATCTGATGAATTCAGATAAATCAAAATTTTGTTTTGTATAGATACATATTATGTATCTATACAAAACAAAATTTATTAACTCAAAAATTAATTTACATCATATTAGTGGGGATTTGCACGTATCCCTTATCCTACCTACCACCTGGCTTGCGGGGTTACCGCTTGGCCGTGGGGTTACCGCGCAGGCTGGGGCCCGACTGGCAAATGCCACCTCGACTGGTCAGACATGGTCAATGTTCAGTCCGACGCTGATCATTCATATTCTATATAATTTAAGTACGATATTGCTATTTCATAAAATATAGCTGTAGGATCCGGGGATAGAAATGAAAGCGTTTGTAAATTGTAACACACTTACGTACTATTTATTGTATTTAAATTAGAGAACACAATGTTTACGCGTATCAACATGTCGCGTGTCATTATGATACAAAACATCTTTTTTTTCTATTTATCATCTTTCATTCCATTCCATTCTTAAAATTAAATCATACGTCCCCTTTTTATTCTTAAAATAACATTTCACGCATACTCATCTCGCAAATCTTCACATGTGTGTATATCTCGGCAGCTGAAACCATAAAATAAGTACCTGCCTATTTATATCATACAGTTGTATGAAGCACACTCATGGATTTAGCTATTACATAGAAGTTTTTACAGTATAGTGCTTCGCATTGTTAGCTCTACAATTTGTCTTTGGGATCCCCAGCACAAACACTTAGATATACATTTCACTGACAAAGGTCCAATTTTCAAGATTCTTTTTATTGCATAAATAATCGACTGAATTAAAATATCTATAAAAATGTCTACGTTATTGCATGGAATAAATTATAGCAATTTGACTGCCCTATTTGGGCATGTAAAGTTCGCACACATATCATGCGTTCCCATTCGTAATCTTCATGTATTAACATCCATTCTGTGTATATACTTTTTATATTAATTATGAACTTTTGCAATAATAAAATGGCATAACTTGTTTTATGTAAAAACATATTTTTAGTTTAATTAGACTCCAATAACATATTTAAATATCTCTGTTTGTATTCATTTATAATATTTTAAACAAGTTATTATAATTTACAAACTTATAATGTCATGATTTGAAAAATGAAATTATTATATACATTATTATTAATCTAATTTTAGGATTACAATTACGTTTAAATTATTTCAAGTAAGAACAAAATGCAGATTTCTAGTTTTCCGTCCAACTGTTTGGAAACCATGTAATTGAAGAATTTATCGCCAAGGAAAAATTGTATACTTATACAATTTTATATGATATAATAATAATTTTCGTTATTTACATAATATGTACGTAGTGGATCTCCAATGTTTTATTAGTTTAATTGGCAGTATATAAAGTTCAATAATATGATGTTTCAGGGGAAAAATCAAGCTCAATTTATATTTGTTTTTCTTTTGTATCGTTATCTTGTATGTGCTTTTATGAAATTGTGTAGTAGGTATACCCAGGTGTGGTTCTATTGATAATATTGTATCTTTAGTCTGTACCTAGATTACAAAAAGAATAGTATATATATATATATATAATTTGCTGCATTAAAAAAATAAATAAAAATATAACGATGTGACGATGATCACTTTCAGTGTTGTACGAGTATGTTGTTGCATTTTTATCAATGTCTATGACAATAATTTTGTATTAAAGTTATTATCATAGACATATGGAATGGACTGAGCTTTCGAAATTATCTAGGTGTCGAACAGCAGACAGAAACGTGTGAGTGAGATTAAACGTTTAAGCGGCCTTATATCCATCACTCCTATATTGTTAGTATGTATGTGCAGCGAGCAGGTAATATTAACAACTATTGCTTTCTCTTTTCATACTACTCGATTCGTTATAACTCATAGGGCATGCATGTACGGAGTTGACATGTTAGTGATGCTATAATTGCGCAAACGCACAAATGTCTTCAATTACCTATCTGACAAATATATACAAGACTCCGATGAAGTTAGAGGAAGACGGGCGCATAATATTCTGCACTGTAATGATTTCGCCGTCTTAGAGTAGGAATCCTCCCCTGGGCCTAAA